TTCCAGATCACCTGGTCTGGAGGCCAGCAGGGTTTACAATTGTGGCCCCTCAGGACTGTACATACTTGCGTAATTTAAAAGCTATTGCCTGAGGACATGTCTTCCAATCAGCCTGAAACTAGGTGCTGCCTGAGATCCCTCCCTTTGGAACACTGACAGGTCTTAGCATACCCTTACCAACGGGGACTTATCAAGAATAAATCAGGTTGCTTAGACAATCACAAAGGTTCAAGAGACAGCCAAGAGCTAAGGCAAGGTTGAACAATAATGTTTACCTCCTACACAAGGCCACTTCTTTCAGACTGCGAGAGGTAGCTGTTTCACTTGATACATAGAAACAAATACAGAGTCAAGCAAAATGAGAAAACAGAGGAATATGTTCCAAACAAAAGAACAAGATAAAATTCCAGAAAAAAATCTTAATGAATGATAAGTAATTTACCTGATAAAAAGTTCAAAGTAACCATCATAAAGATGTTCACTGAACTCAAGAGAATGAATGAACACAGTGAAAATTTTAACGAAGAAATAGAAAATATAAGAAATTACCAAACAGAAGTTACAGAGCTGAAAGAGACAATAACTGAACTGAAAAATACACTACAAGAATTCAACATCAGACTAGCAAAAATGGAAGAAAGGATCAGTGGAAGACACAGGGGTGGAACTCACCTAAACAGAGCAACAAAAAGAAAAAACAATTTTAAAAAATGAAGACAGCTTAAGGAACATGTAAGACAGCATCAAGTGGAATAACATCTGCGTTCTAGGGGTCCCAGAAGAAGACAAAAGAAAGGCACTCATTAGAAGAAATAATGGCTGAAAGCTTTTTTTTTTTTTTTAACTTAAAGAAGAAAAAAGACATTCGGATCCAGAAAGCTCAGAGTTCCAAATAAGACGAACCCAAGACATCCACTCAAGACACATTATGATTAAAATGTCAAAAGTTAAAGATAAAGAGAGAAACTTAAAAGGAGCAAGAGAAGTCACATACAAGGGAAACCCCATAAGAATGTTAGCATATGGTAGCCTGGGTGGCTCAGTTGGTTAACCATCTGCCTTCAGGTCAGGTCATGATCCCAGGGTCCTGGGATCGAGTCCCACATCCGGCTCCTTGCTAAGTGGGAAGCCTGCTTTTCCCTCTGCCTGCTGCTCTGCCTGCTTGTGCTCACTCTCTCTCTCTTTCTCTCGCAAATAAATAAAAAAATCTAAAAAAAAAAAAATTAGCATATTTTTCAGCAAAAACTTTACAGACCAGAAGAGGGTGGCAAATATACTCAAAGTGCTGAAAGGAAAAAGCTTCCAACAAAGAATACTCTATCTGTCAAGGTTATCATTCAGATTTGAAAAAGAAAAAAAATTTTCAGACAAGCAAAAGCTAAAGGAATTCATCACTACCAAACTGTCCTTACAAGAATTTTTTTTAACCAGACCTTCACTTTTATTTTTATTTTATTTTTTTATATTATTTATTTTATTATGTTCAGTTAGCCACTGTATAGTACATCATTAGTTTTTGATGTAGTGTTCAATGATTCATTAGTTTCGAATAACACCCAGTGCTCATCACAACACGTGCCCTCCTTAATACCCATCACCCTGTTACCCCATCCTCCACCCCCCTCCCCTCTGAAACCTTCAGTTGGTTTCCTGGGGTCCATAGTCTCTCATGGTTTGTCTCCCTCTCTGATTTCTCCCCCTTCAGATTTCCTTCCCTTCCCCTATGATCCTCCATGCTATTGCTTATGTTCCACATATGAGTGAAACCATGTGATAATTGTTCAATGTTAAAGGGACTTCTCTAAGCTGAAAAGAAAGGACACCACTTAGTGTATGTATGTATATCACTAATTATTATGTATATAACTAGTTATTATATTACTAATTATTATTTTTATAATCAGAGGCTATAACTAGACATTTTTCCAAAGAAGACATACAGATGACCAAAAAGCACATGAAAAGATACTCAATATCACTAAGCATCAGGGAAATGCATATTAAAACCACCATGGGATATCACCTCACATCTGTTAGAATGGTTATTATCAAAAAGACAAGAAGTAACAAGTATTGGTATGAATGTGGAGAAAGGAACTTTTGTGCACTGTTGGCAGGAACGTAAACTAGGATAGCCACTATGGAAAGCAGTATGGAGATTTCTCAAAAAATTAAAAATAGTACTACCACATGATCCAGCAATTCCACTTCTGGATATTTAGCCAAAGGAAAAAAAACCCCGTTAATTTGAAAAGATATATATGATATGTATAAGATAGATATATATAATTTGAAAAGATATACCTCCATGTTCATTGCAGCATTATTTACAATAGCCAAGATCTGAAAACAACCTAATCATCCACCAATGGACGAATGCATAAAGAAGATGTGGTGTATCTATGTGCAATAGAATACTACTCAACCAAAAAAAGAATGAAATCTTGCCATTTGCAACAACTTGGTGGAACTTAAGGGTATTTTGCTAAGTGAAATAAGTTAGACAGAAATAGACAGATACTGTATGATCCCACTTATATGTGGAATCTAAAAAACAAACAAACAAACAAAATAAAGCAAAACTCATAGTTGCAGAGAACAGAATGGTGGTTTTCAGAGGAAAGGGGGTGGTGGGGTGGGCAAAATAGGTGAAGGCGGTCAAGAGGTACAGACTTCCAGTTATAAAATAAATAAGTCATGGGGATGTAATGTACAATATGGTGACTATAGTCAAGAATACCGTATTGCATATTTGAAAGTTGTCAAGAAAGTAAATCTTCGGTGTTCTCACCGCAAGAAAAAAAATAGAGACTGAATGGTGACAATGGTAACTTGACTTATTGTGGTGATTGTCTTGCAGTATATACAAATATCAAATCATTGTGTTGTATACCTGAAACTAACATAATGTTATATGTCAATTACACCTCAATAAAAAAGAAGACATAGTAATCTTAAAAGTGTAAAGATGAAAAGCTTCAAACTTCACGTAAAGTTCAAAATATGTAAAGCATAAACTAAAAGAAGTACAAGGAGAAATAGACAACATAGATATAGTTGGAGACTTTCACATACCACTATCCATCATTATTAGAACAAGTAGACCGAAAATTAGTAAGGGTAAAAAAGACTTGAACAACCAACCTGAACTAATTGACATTTGTCTACACTTCACCAACAAGTGCTCACAGAATACACACCAAGACAGACCACATTTGGGGCCTTAAAACAAATTGCAATGATTTTAAAGTAATTGAAATCATATAAAGTATGTTCTCTGATTACAACATTTACCTAGAAATTAATAAAAAGATCTCTGAAAAATTGCAAAATTTTGGATATTCAGCAACACACTTCCAAGCCCACATGTCGAAAAAGAAATCACAAAAGAAAATAAAAAAATATTTTGAACACAACTCATTGCATACACTAAAATGTCAATGAGATATTATGGAAATCTCTTATCATGTACCTATTTATCATTTACTTATCATTCACTTACTTATCAAATGTCTTTATGAACCATTAGCTAAAGGGCTGACTGCTAGAGTTTTTTTCTGATCTGGAGTGGCTAAGTGCATGCTAATGAATGTTAGGTCAGCAACAGTAACTATACTTTTATCTTGCTTTGTGCCTTAGTCTTTTTTCCCCCTGGTTCTTTCTCCTGTTACTTGCTCAACTGAATTGAATTAATATTTATTGATCACTTATTGAGTGTAAAGTTCATGTTAGGTGCTTATGAGATTATGAAGATGAGGAAGGCAGAGCTTCTGATTTCAAGGAATTGTATTATAGCCATTGTTTACCTAGATCTGCTGCCTGGACCTATTAACTCCCAGTTCAACTCTCTCTGCAACTTATTTAAAACAGTCCTTTAGAACAGGCACGTTCTTCCTTTAATTCTACTAGGTCCTAGGTTTGCTCATTATATCTATAAACCTTGAAGGTCTTGGGTTTATGCCATTCCACTCCTAATTTTTAGGATTCAATGCTGATTCTGGGACTCTGCTAAGGGAAACTTCAATTAATTTTTGACAGACATATTAAAAATATGCCTTCTAGCTTGATTCTGAGTTCTTGCTTCTTGATGTTTCTCTTTCCTTTTATCCCGAGAAAACAATATCACTATGTCCTTTTCCTTAATTGTGGCAAAATGACTGCAAGTAGCTGGCATTTAAAAAATCACAGCCATTGGAAAATTTGCACTGAGGAACAAAAAGCAAAAAGAACTTCACTGAGCCATTAAATTGCTCTAGTGGTAAACTCTGCCATCTTATAGGTAACAGTTTTTCTTCTAACATATACATCAACATATACAGTAAAGTTGCATCTTACTTTGAGATTAGGTATTAAAGTCCCAGAGAGAAAAGTGAAAATCACATATAATTACAATTACTCCTAAAAATTCCTAATATCAGCATTAATGTTTTAAGACATGATATACTGAAGGTTAAAATGCCAATGATTTGTTTTTTCTTGGTATTTTTCTTGGGCAGTGGAAGCCAAGGCTATTTGGAGGGTGAGATCAAGAATAGAAACCGATAAATAATATCTTTTTCTCTCTCTCAGCTAAAAATGTATAATTAATTTTTAGCTGGCTAAATATGAGTATAAATTCTTTGTCTCAAAACCCAAATGGCTTAATATGAGAGTACGTGTTCTGGAAAAAAAAAGCTTAGTTATGATCATACTATTCAGTTATATAGCAAAAAATTACATGGTCCAATCATGAATATAAAATTATTATTCAGTCTGAAAATATACTATCTCATAGAGGTTTACTTTTTTGGGTTTAAAATAGATTTTTCTTTAACAAAAGGTAACAGTTAAACACTATCAAACGTTGGCAAGAAACCGTATTCTCAATAAAAACTTTGAATTTATGTCACTTGACTTTAGGGTGATTGGTCTTGCCATCCTGGGTTGACTTTCTCTCAATGAGAGCCCCATGAGAATATACCCAAAGAAGAAACACAGAGGACATTACAAATGATGCTTACTTGTTAACACAGTGATTGATCTGGATGGCTTGGTAACCACATTTCCATTTACCACTACCAGAGTGATTATATAATAAAGGCCATGGTAATTAGCCTTAAAGGTAACAGGAGGAGGCAAAGTGCTGTTGAATTCCTCAAATTCGAAGAAGTAATTTTTTGATTCCCCAGTTATCTTCACAACATACACAGATGATGGGCTCATGACATCTGAAGCTTCTAAAGAGACAACGATGCTATTATCATCTTGAACAGTTACATGGAATGTTGTGGCATTCTGTTTAAGAAAAGAGAAAAACAAAAGGAAATGACGGTCAAATTGAGATCATTGGCAATAAAATTATGCTGAGCTCATTTTCCCAAAACTAATGTTTGTGATAAGCACCACACAGGTATTTTAGTGTTCAAGGAAAAGCAGAACGAGAGAGATTGACCCTCTTATGACTAAGGATCTTCTCAGGCTTTTACTTTTGATTCTTCTCCATTGAAAAACTGCTCCCAACTCATGGATTGTGTCATGTAATAAACACAAAATAAACATCGTGGAAATGAGGAAAGAATGAAATGAATGAAAATCATCTTGGCACTCGATTTGCAGAGAAATTCTTGGTTTTAGCTATGCTGGAGAAAGTATATGGATGGAGCACTCCATTTTACTTAGGAAGGAGTAATGCTGCGGGGGTCCTAGGAGAATTCTAGAAGAATGTCACAAAGCAGTTATTTCCTCACTCACTTGCACCTGTCAGTTCTGAAAAAATAGAAAGAAAGAAAAAAGTCGGGACTGAGAATCCTGTGACAATCCTCCTCACTGGAGGTTAGCCAATCTTTTTTTTTTTTTTTTAAGATTTTATTTATTTATTTGAGAGAGAGAATGAGAGAGAGAGAGAGAGAGCACATGAGAGGGGGGAGGGTCAGAGGGAGAAGCAGACTCCCCGCCGAGCAGGGAGCCCGATGCGGAACTCGATCCCGGGACTCCAGGATCATGACCTGAGCCGAAGGCAGTCGCCTAACCAACTGAGCCACCCAGGCGCCCAGCCAATCTTTAATAAGAGAAGACAACATGCTCTTTGAAGAAGGAACCAGACTGAGGATCACTGGCATCTATGGTAAAGGCAGCAGTGAAGGGGAATGAAAACTGCTCTAAGTGTCTAGACCAGTGTTTACGGACAGTATACTTGAAAAGTCATGGTGTGGCTGGTGTAAATATCCCTTCCTGATTCTTTCCCATACTGTACAGGCAGAATAGTCCTGCTGCACTCTGGTCTCACACAAGACTCGTATACTTTGTATCACTGCTGCTTTGCTTTTAACTCATCTTCTGGGTACATGGGGTCCAGGAGAGTTGTTTCACTGCTCTGAGCTTCAGACCTCTCTTCCGTGAAAGGGGGACAGAACAATTTTTTAAAACATGCTTAGGACTTACCAGGATCCAGGTACGAAGCTAGGCAGGCTGTAAACACAGTCATCTCATTTAATATGCAAAATGACCTGATGAGATAGGTATTTTTTTTTTCAATCTCAGTTTGTAGTTAAGGAAACCAAGGCTCAGAAGGACTGAGTCACCTGCCCAAGGTCACACATCTAGTTTGGACTCTTAAACACTGAACTACACAAGTACCAAAATTGAGCTTCATTACGTCCACGTGTCTGTTTCTCTTCCCTTCTTGACTTGTTTTCCTAACACTCAGTCTGACACACGGTATAAACTGGTAAGTCTCTGTTAAATGAATGAAAGAATTGCTGATTGCATTAATTACATGTGGACACTTGCTTCTTGGAATTAACCTAATGGTACCTCTTATGTTGTCAGAAGCCAAATCAAGCATACAGTACATATCAGTATTCTAAAGGAGGCCAAAATGTACCTAAAAATGTACTGATTTTTTTATTATTTAGTTGTTTTAGAAATCTAATTTAATTTTTAATGGTCCTAGTATTTGTAAAGACTATCTGGCCCTTAATAGAAATTTAATTCTATGTTAACATTTAGTAGACTTAATTGTGTTAACCGTATGAGACCCTAAGTTCTTTAAGGACGGGGACTGTATCTTATTTCTAGCTGCACCTCTAGCTCCAGGACCACTGCCTGGCATATGTTAGCTACTCTGTGATCTGGATAGTCCTAGGCCGGTCTCTATAATATGGATCAGTCAGTACGGATTGCCTTTTAAAATGTCCTTTTCTTCACATTGTCTCTCATCGTCAGACACATGGGTAGGTTTTTAAAATTGTGTACTTTTGGGAAACATAACAAACATACAGAACATGTGACCCACTATTATTGCCCGTGGTCCAGGTGGAACTGTGAGGCTTAACCAAGCATCCAATATCCAATAACATTGAACTCTAGCTTTTATTTATTATTGGTTACAGAAATGGATTCACTAACTCAGAAAACAGTAAGGATACAAACATCAGCTTCAGAATTATTAAGAATTTTTTGCTCTATGTTTTAATAGCCAATAACAAAATTTTGTGATAATGAAAAGAGGGTTACATAGACTCAATTTTGCAAAGTGTTGAAGAAATATGTATCTAATGGGTCATGAGGCTGCATAGACAGCGCAGTCTTCCAGGGAAAGGGTCTAATCTTCCAAAATCTAAAGACAGCTTTGGGGATGATTGTATCAGCCATGAAAATAAGCATTGACCCATGTGCTCCCAGGTCACCAAAAATAAATCAGGGTAGGCTAATCAGATTCAGTCAGTCGAACTAATGAGAATAAGGCAGCAGGCCAAGTGAGTCTAGGCAGTGAGCCTAAAGAAATGTCATCACGCTATTTCTTCTCTGCTCTCTGTGCTTCAGCTTTTCCTGGAATCTATATTCAGGAGAAGATTCTGAATGCATGCTGCAGGCATGCAATCCCTGCCGGGATGTACAGCAAGAAGGAAGAGTTAAAAGTTACAGAAATGGATTTAAGCTTAGGCAAGTCCAACGTGGATTTGTTTGGTGGATAGAGAAATATTTAAAATTATTTTTTTTGAAACCGGGTAGTAACATTGCTTGACTCTGCAATGAAAATATTTTTACTGAAATTTCCTTTGCATAATACAATTTAATATAGAAATTTCTCCGCTCCAATACCCTCATTGCACACTTGAAAGCACAGCGGTACAAATATCGCCCAGCTAATTGATGTCAGAACAAGGTCTAGGATCCACACATCCTTACGTCTCCCGGTAGTGCTCTTTCCTGAACTAGAGTTGGCTGTTTGAGGCAGCAAAGGAAGGCTGGATGCTTGGCTTCAGCAAGGAAGGGGGAGCCCAGGAGCTTGTAAACTGCGCTATGGCCAGTCCTAAAGGGACAGAAGCTCTCGGAGACAGAGTGGGCCGCACTAAAGAGGAGGAAAATGCAAGATGAGTCCCTGGAATGTGGGACAAGAAGAGAATTTGTCTCATATATTCCAGTCTGACATCATAAGAAATCGTCCACCATCTCTGACAAATATAACAACTGTTATCTATCGATCCTCTAATCTAGACTACACTTTGCACTTGGCATTTTATGTCTTTTTCTTTTTTTCCTTACAACAATCTTTAGAAATAAGTGTCTTTCTCCCCATTTTACTCAGAGAGTTTAAATAATCTGCTTAAGAACACAGCACTAGACTTGGAATCAGAGGGCCTGAGTTTCTACTCCTTTGCTGCAGCCTATTATCTGACAACATGGGAAAACACAAGGATCTCTTAACTTCATCTGTTTAATTTCTTTTTTTTTTTTTAAAGATTTTATTTATTTATTTGTCAGAGACAGAGAGAGCACAAAGCAGGGGGGAGCGGCAGGGAGAGGGAGCTGCAGATTCCCCACTGAGCAGGGAGCCCGATGCGGGACTCGATCCCAGGACCCTGGGATCATGACTCGAGCTGAAGGCAGACAGTTAACCCACTGAGCCACCCAGGCATCCCCATCTGCTTAATTTCTAAAATAGGGGTGGTTCCTATAAACTCATGGGATTGGGGTAAGAATTAAGTGGCTTTTATAAAAATGCTAATAGGTTGGACCCAATAAGTATTAGCTCTATCTCAAAGATTCTCGTGTTTTAATTAAATTGAATGCCTCAATGACCTGTCAACTAAAGAGGTCCCTTAAACATCCATTTAACTAACTTCCCAACTCTATGGAATTCTGTGATCACGTTTACTGGATGTTATATTCACACTGTAGAGGTATCCGTTCTATCATTTCAACAACAAAAAAACATTAGCGGCCATATGTTAGCTACTCTGTGATCTGGATAGTCCTAGGCCGGTCTCTATAATATGGATCAGTCAGTACGGATTGCCATTTAAAATGTCTTGGCATCAGGTATCTCGCTGGGTGGTGGCGACAGGCTCTGAGGAAGATGGGGCACTTGACCTCCTAGAGCCCAGACTCTAGTCAGAAAGGCTCACCCAAATGCATAGTTACAACACCATGTGAGTGTTACTAGTTACAGACTTTGAAAAAGTGTTTGATGCTTGTTTTTCCTGCCTGTCTGGGATCCCTTCTTTGATCATATCTTCTTGTTTTGGAGCACTGCTTCTTTTCCACCATAAAGCCAAGAAGGGGTCCCGATGGGGGTTCCTAATACGAGTGTGCTACTCCCAGATTAGAGCAGGAGGTACTTGGACTCAGTCTGGGTGAATCGTAATGCCCAGTTCTCCCTTCATGGAGAGAGCCAGGGGGATGCCACTGGGGACCCAGCCAGCCAACTGGAATGCTTTGTCTGAAATTTTATAACTGGAATTAGTGGGGAAGAGTTTTTTTCTCCTCTGGTCCCAAGTATGTACGGATGCAAATCTGGAGAAGTCAGTGTCTATCATTTCTGCCCCACAAAGACAATTGCTTGAGGGAAAATCCCTGATGTGGTCCGAGGCCCTGGTCTCAGTCACCCTAAGGCCCAGCCCCTGTGCAGTCTGGCAACCTGAGTGCATAAATCCCAGTTTATGGCTTAAGTCAGTTAAGCTGGACTTCCAAAACTGACAGCCAAAGGTCCTGGTCAATACAAGAGAATTGTTCAGTGCTCTAGACTTGTAGAGAAGAAAACAATTAAATCTGCTTCTGCAATGGGTATGAGGAAGGGTTTCAAGTTGGAAGTGATGCTTGAAAGACACTCAGGAATTTCCCAGGGGAACGAAGGTCAGTGCACCATCTGGAGAAATGGGAAGAAGACCCTACAGGCCTCAGGAGTGGTTAGATCATGGTAGGACTTTCAGAGAGGAGGGTTGATAGCCAAGTCCAAGATGTGAATTTGAGTATTTTTTAGGCCAAAAGAAATCATGGTCTGTTTTAATGCA